GATGTGACTTGGTTGATTAATTTGAAGCTAGTTAAGGTTTGTTTTGTAGATTAATCATGTAAATTGATAATTTTGAGTTAAAATAAATCTTCTAATTTACTTTCTCTCAGTCCAACTTATCGTACACCAACGAGATATTTGTTTCTTCCTTCAGAGCCTGTCAGTTTTGGTTGGTCTACATTCGACCACAACGGAATTGACCTCTTAACTGAGTAAAATTAGGATAAGGTTATGTCTATATAACTGCTTCGTAGAATCATTCATTGCTTGACTCTTTGTCAGAATGCCGCACCTGAAGATAGAGTGGACTAACTCAGTAAAGTCGATAGGGCTAGCTGATGTCGATAGATTTTCGGCTCCGATCAATTTCACAGTTTGAACTTGTAAATCTAGGATTGATGAGCACCTTTCCACACATATAGTCTATTTAACGCCTACATAATATGTTTCCTTTCCCAAGTACTTGAATTGTTAATCAACAAAAGGTTAGTTATATAGTCTACACCTTGACTGATTAAATTTGAGTATAATCATTATCTTCTAGTACGATTGTTGAACAACTTGGGACAAAGCAATTAGATCTGGTTTGGTCTTGACCATTCGTTTCTACAGATCTAGCCGTTGATCCTTCGAAAGTTGGAATATGCCTCGTATTACACCTTCATGGTGGTTAATCTGGTCATTGTTACGGTTGTTGATAGAAGTTAATGTTTTGGCTTAGTAATTCTGAGTTGAGATAAATCTCTTAATTTAGTTTAAGTCCTTGGACACCGAATATACATTTTTCTTTTCTCAAGTCTGTAAGTCTTGCTGACACATCAGTCTCAACACAGGCTGACACATTGACTCTGTAAATTTAGGATGGATCCTAGTATAGCCATTGCACACTACTAAGTTAGGATCGCTAAGCCTTTCTTGTGTGGATTAGAGGAACATGTTGGCACTGACTCTTTTTTATTTAGATTAAGCCTTGAAGCGGTCCCTATACTAAGCAACTTGGCTCATTGCTTTCACAGTATTTTCGAGTGCGGTAAAGTAATGCCTTGAGTAATCTAAACTAAAGTCTGGAGCAAACAACTTTCTTGCTAGGAAATTTTCTTAGTTTTAGTCATTGAATGCCTATACAACAACTAACACAAGCAACATAATTACACAACTTATACAACATCTCAGTTCATTGACCTCAATCCCCTCATAGGATTCGATAAGTCGATGTCTTGACTCTGTAAACATATTAAAGTATGTGCAACTCTCTGGTATAGTCATTGCACATCGCAGAAGAACTCCTAGAAGCCCAAAGCTCAATAACCAACTTCTAATATAATCGGGTCAGAGCTAATGGTAGGTGCCAGCCCCTGAACTGTCTGCTTTAAACTGAGCACTTGACTTTCCTTTAGTTTAGATCCCCGTCTCATCTATCCTGATCAAGTTGCACCTATGCACCCTTTAGGTTTAGAGTAGATTCCTGTATTATTTTTCCTAATGTGTCCAAACGCACATAAGTTCACATAGAAAATTTTCATTATAATCAAACCAAATTCTCCTGCAAAAATGAATCAACTTAATCATTTGAATCTTCCCCTATGATTAGTTTCAAGATGAATGATAAGCTTCAGCACTATTCTTTTTGATTAGTCCTTTTGTCTGTTCCCTAGGTTAGATGTTAGTTTCCGTGCTTTCTTTTCTAGTATAAATATATTCTCTTAGTTCTTTTGATTAGCTTCAGGATGAATGATAAGCTACAACACTGTTGTTCCAGATCTTCTCATTTCGTCAATCTCTTAGGTCGGATATTAGTCCCCGTGCTTTTCTTATTGGTATAGATATATTATCTCAGTTTTCTCGACTAGAGTTCAGGATGAATGATAAGCTCTAGCGCTGCCCTTCTTGATTTTGTCATTTCATCTTTCTTCTAGGTTTGATGTTTGTTTCCGCGCTTTCCTCTCTAATATGGTTGAACTCTTGATTCTTCTCTGAATAGCTCTCAGACTGAAGGAATAGCTCTCAGTAGCATGTATAATCTTCAAAACAAAACAAAAAAAACAATGAAGAAATAAGAAAAGACAAAAAAAAAGAAGGATAAAAACTTTCCACTACAAACAAAATCAAATCTCAAAAATAAAATATACTCAAAAACTCAGGAAAATTCTGATTTCTCACCATGAATGACAAATCTAGGAGCTGAAATAGGATATGAATTAAATATTGAACCTCAAATATTATTTAAAAAACACGAAGATAAAGACGAGATCAGAACCTAGGTAGATCTAATATGAAGCTTAGGTTAGCTAACTTAGATTTCAAACCGAGGATCATACAGTTACCCCAGGTTAGTTTGAATATAGATGTCTAGGTTAGTTTGATAGGTACTCTAATTAGTGCTAAGGACTAGAACATACAAAACAACAAACTATTTCTTGAGAATAAAGAGAATGCCTTAGAGTGACGTTACACATGGCTACTGATGAATGTATTTCAGACCTCTTTGAAACTATGAATCCTCCATGTTGCGACACTTATGGAGGATTCTTGGCTATGAGGTCCGTCATAATCGACAGATACCAATGTTATTAGGATGATAGAAAGCCACGCACATCTTGATCAAGGACGTTATTTCAAACGTCTAGGTTAGCCTGCCCATTAGAATTCCTTATAGAGTCTAAAATTTCATTTATTCTCTAGAAATCTTCTCTACCTGACTCTATCCTCAGCTTCATATTTTTAATCAGTTATGTCAGTCAAATCAAATGTCCTTGATTCATCTTCACTTGATCGAGTTAAACTTTATTGGCCTCTTCAAAACACTACAATCATCGCTCTTTGGGTATAGTTGCCCCCATCGGATGGTCGAATCCCTACATTCAAGCCTTTCCCATGGCACATTGTCATCGGATTGTAGGTCCCATCCCTTGTAGCCTAATTCTTCTAATTTGGATCCTCTACTTCAATTTATAACGATATGACTCATTACATTATTCGAGAGTTTTCCTTAAAGCTCATGGTGCTGGAGATGTAATTAACTATGCGGATTTTTCCTTGTAGGGAACATGACCTCATAATTAAAATAAATTTTATCTTACCTTTGTAAGGTAAGGGACAAAACCTTGATTCCGTAGACTGACGAAGGCTCTCATCATCCGGGTGATCCCATTTTTATCGTAATATTTTCTTCCTTTGGTAATATATGTTATTTTTCGAAATGTCGTGCCCGATCATCTAAATATAAGTTTTTCAAAAAGTTGTACGGTGTGTGGCAACAAACAAAAATCTCTCACCATTGGTCACATTAAATATTGACCATTTGATGAGATTGTTAGGAGAGCAGAGGTTTTAGATTTGATTAATGTTAAGAAAGGTAGAGGTCGACCTAAAAAGATTTGGGCATTTATAAAAAATGATCAAAATTTATTAGAATTAATGAGAATATGATACTCAATAGGACAATGGAGAAAAATGATTCATGTAGCCGACCCTACGTAGTGTGATAAAGTCTTGTTGTTGTTATAATCATGGGAATTGTTTGCGTGATAATGTTACATCTTTTTTCCTTGGCTTCATTATGTACCATTTGACAATATTTTTACCAGTCATTATTAGAGATATTTATACTGTTGGCACTCAGGTGTAATAATTAATGTTTGGGGCTTTCAATCATACAAATTATATAATTTACTTTTAATTAAACTAAATTCATAATAATATTGCATACATAGGTTCTTATGATTTTAATTAAATATATCTAAAAATTCAAATCATTGATTTCGAAATGATTTATTTAAAGTTTTGTAATTCCACATGTGAGTTCGTATGTTTGTGATATATCTTCTATGCATAATCTATGCTTCTTACCAAGGTATATTTTTTCTTACATTATAGACGTCATGGTCTTGTAGAATGTGTAATGATGAGAGAACATGAGTGTCACAGATTTGATACACACACCATCAAATGTTTTCCATTGCTACTAAATCGTTGTGGAAGGACTTTCTTGTCAATTTGCTGATGGGGCCTTGATGAGAATCATTTTATTTTTTAAATTATTTGCTCATTGAATTGCTTTAATTGTTTTAATTCCATTGAGAGGAGGAAGTCTTCATCATTATAGAAGGAACTGAATCTTATTTTGCCTTGCTTTGGAAACTCCTTGAATATAGAATGCAAAGTATCTTCGATTGGTGTGTTCAAATTAAAGAGAATGTTTTGAGTGTGGACAGAGAGAGAAGATGTATTTGTTGGAAAAAAATCCTCAGGAGGGGAAGAGAGAGAATGTGGGAGAAATATGTATATTTTGTTTCACATAATTTATTATAAGTTCAAATAATTTCCATTTGAGGTGTATTTATAGAAATTTGATTACACATTTAAATTAAATACAAAGCTTATATATATAACAGTCCTAAACTCCTGTCATTTGATTTAAAATATTGGTAATCCTATCAGTTAAAGAAAAAAAAACATAAGTACAACCTCAAACTAATCCAAACACTTATATTTTCTGAAAGTATTTTTCTTTTAGTGCATCACTGGGCCTAGGATGTTTGAAGCAGCAAAAGCTTGAATTATGTTGCATTCTTTCTCTTAAACCTTTCATTGTCTCCACAGCACATACTTCCTGAACCGCAAATTCCTTATTTCAAGAGGAATTTTTAGGAACTGAGCCAAAGATGAAAGGAAGGAACCGTCAAATACTTGAAATTTTTTTAAGCTTTTCCATCATCCTTCCATCTTTCAGCTAACTGTCTTCTCAACAATTGTTCTGGTCATTCCAATTTTTAGCTCTATGGGCCTGTTTAGACATCTTTAACATGGCTTGGTGTGCTATTATAATTTTCTTGTTGGGGCCGACTTTACCATCTAATATTTGCTACAAGATCATCATGCGTATGTCTCAACTGAAGTAATCTAAGCACAATATTTAATTTTACTGTAAATTCTGTAGCGTTTGGCCTTTGTTCAACTTCTATTCCTGCTAAATCATATATTTTCTCTTATTCTACCAGAAATGACCTATGGGCACTTGGGTGTACGTTGTATCAGATGCTTGCTGGATCTTCTCCCTTTAAAGATGCTAGTGAGTGGCTTATCTTTCAGAGGATTATGGCCAGGGATCTTAAGTTCCCTGATTACTTTTCAGATGAAGCAAGAGATCTAATCAACAAGTTATTGGTATGAAATTTCACTTGCATTTTCCTTTTATCCTTTGGCAAAACTAGTACGCAACTACTGTGTAATCTTACTCTGATTTCTGATGTAATATATGTGTTCTTGAAAGAGTATGGTATTGGGCTTTTGAAGGATTTGGATGATCGTTTTTGTTGGTATGTGGGAGTATCTTAGGTTTTGTCTAGTGATGAGGTCATCCAAAGTTTGAGGGCTAGGTTTGGTTGAGAGTTACACTGAGAGATGTAAATGGAAATGGTAATGAAAACAGAAGCATCACCAAAGGACTACATAGAATCATACATATAATGGCGGCTCTCTCAAAGAACTCCTAAGCAATAAGAAATCTACCAAACTATTTTCTCCAAAAACTTTAAAACAAGCACCAGTAATTTTTACTTCTTTTCATTTAGTTCTTCATGGTTACACAGCACTTGTTTATATGGGGAAATAATTGACATACCAGCTAAGCACGAGGAGCTGTTGTTAAGATTTATGGAAGGTATAAAATCATTTAGAATGTAATATTTATTTTCCAATGGAGGGAGGACTGACCATTGTATATTAGGAAGATTTTCAAACATCCCATAAACAGAAATTGGATGTTCTTCAACAGATAACCAGCTGCCAAGTTTTTACATGAAAAGGGAGTTGTCTTCGTTCTAACATACGTTTCTTTTATAAAAGAAGAGTAGTCCATCATGGCTTCAATGGAAGGTAGAGTGATCTTTCAATTAAGCATATGTTGATTCCAATAATGACACAGGATGATCATGCACATTTTAACTTTGATTGAAGCTGCTTTGATTGACCTTCAACATCAATCACTTGTCATTTGTGGAAACAAGCCGTTAATGAAATTAATGTGTGAAAATTCTGTATATTCACATTTGGAATTGGACTTATATGTTGCATCTCTTTACCTTCAACTTTACATGGTTAAATCATAGTCTTCACAGGATTTGATGAGCTTGCTTAAAGCAGCATGTGACCAAGCAAGTTATTTTTGACAGAAGCTTGATCTGTTTCGAATGAGGTTGCGGCCCTACAAGGGATTTAACTTTTATATTATGCTTATCGAAAGCCATAGTAGTAGAAAGACCATGATTAGAATTTGAAGATTTAGGTGGTGCATATGTTTTGGTTCTTGGTGGTGGAGAACCTATAATTGTTAGGGTGGAGGTTGTTTTAATGGGTGGAGAACTTTTTATGGCAAGGGATACCTTGCTTCTATTTTTTAATGCATTGAGAGTATGTTTAAGGGATGGATAATATTACATAAGTGGTTCAGTAGAATTTTTGTTGGTTGTGTCGTGGATTGTGAAATTTTCATGCATAAGGTCCACTTCGATATTTTTAATGAAATGGAGTTTTCAGTTATCAGTTAATTTATGAAAGCTAAGAAGTAATTCATGTCTTCAATCTTTTATGTTATGCATCTTATTATTTAATGTGCAATGTTATAATTAAGTTTATTATTCCAGATTTTTCTTAAATCTTTTTCATGATTTGTGCTATGATTCATTGAGACATATTGGGGTGATATGATGTTCCACATGAAGTTATGAATGAAAATATTTTATGTCTAATGCACTTCTAATCAACCTAATAAGGACAAAAATATGCAAATAAATTCTTATTAACCTTAACTTTAAAAGTTACTACAAACTGGAATCTTGACATTGATATCTGGTTGAATTCTTCGAATCTACTTATTTAATTTTTAAATTCAAGATCGCCTTGTTGATTGTTATCTATACTATAGATTTATATGAGAATCAAACTTCATCAATTTTCATGCTAATTTAATCATTCATTAAACATGTGAAAGCTTTAAGGATGATTGGATAACCCCTTTTAAAAATATATTTTTACTTGTATTTGACCATTCTAAGATACTAAATATAGACCAGAGATTTCCATGTATTTGATTTCAATCAATTTGAAAATTTTTGCATATTGAGCTCATGATTATTTTCTCATTATTTTGAAGCAATATTATTATAAAAAATTTTAATGCATTTGATGGACGAGCAAATGAACTAAAAAATTCTTCAAATTATTAATGCTCCAGCTTTTTTTGATATTAAAGAGAACATGTATATTTGACAAATGGATGGTGGAGATATATATTGGAATATTATGGATTTTGGACGATAGGGTTCTTTGTTCTCAAACTCTTTACACCAGTTATTGACATTCTTGAGTACAACAACAACAACAACAACAACAACAACAACAACAAGCCTTTATCTCACTTATTGATGCTGGTTACATGAATCCTTTTTCTCCATTATGTCCTATTGGGTATCATATTTTCATTTAATTCTATTAAATTAAGATCATTTTTATACATGTCCATGTTTTTTTATTTCTACATCTTCTTTTCTTAACGTAAGTCAAATCTAAGCATCTATTCTTCTAACTGGGTCATCAGATGGTCAACATTTAATGTGACCAAAACATCTAAAGCGATATATTTGATTCACATTTCGTCATTAAGTGTAAAACTATTCATCCACGTGAGCATTTTTATCTCTGCATCACTTAATTTATGCTGCTCTTTTACAGGGCAACATTCTGCGTCATAAAACATTGTAGCTCTCAAGGCCATCTAATAAATATTTTTTTAGGTTTAAGTGGTACTTTTCTTTCACACAATAGGCCCGATGCATTCCTCAACTTCAACCATCGAACTTGAATTCTACTAATAACATCCACATCTATATCACCACCACTTTGAACTATTGGCATGCAATATCTAAAGTATTTACTCTTTTTAATGACTTGATCTCCTATTATTACAAGCCTGACACTAGATCTACCACTAATAAAATTACTTTCCATGTATTCAGTTTCAGATTTACTCAAATGAAAGCCTTTAGTCCTGAATTCTTTTTTTAGTCTTAATCTATAAGAATGATGTCACACCTCAATTGGCCCCTCATTTAAGGGCCGACTGAGGTGCGACAGAGCCGACAATTTGTTCAGACCAAGTCTTACCAGCATTCGTCTTGACTTTTATAATCAAGACTCATTGAGAGTGATAGAATTAGTCTAATTAGGTCACCAAAACATACATGATATAATGCATTTTATAATTCATTATATACATACTCGATAATATGAAAATCATATAATCCAAAACATAAAAACCATACAGAATTGCTAAAGCCAATATAATAAAAATACGCAGCCAAAACTATCGTGCAAAAGTTGCACAAAGACACACATGACTACTATCTCCGATGCTCATTGTCCATACCTAAAAGGTATTGCGGAATGAGCAACAATGAACTCAGAGAAATAATCAAGATTAACATAAGATTTTATACATAGAGGAAAAATAACGTTCACGCTCATAGGAAATTGTACATGTCTGCACATGCAAGTAATAACATATTAGCATGGTTCTTTGTGCAACATGTACATGTCTGCACATGCAAGTAACAACGTCCACCGCTTCTAAATCACGTAAATCTCACAATGCTTGCACATGTACATTTCTGCACATGCAAGTAACAACGTCCACCGCCTCTAAATCACGTAAATCTCACAATGCTTGCACATGTACATTTCTGCACATGCAAGTAACAACGTCCACCGCCTCTAAATCACGTAAATCTCATAATTTGTTTTCTTTCCTTTGCTTTGCTGCTTTCGCCGCTTTCCCAAATCACATGAATCTCATGATTCTTTTCCTTTTGCTACCCTTGTTATTAATCTGTGCAGACCTTTATTCCGACTACTCCCTTTCCTTTTTCTCTTTCCCACATTTAGCACGAAACTGCCTTCACTATCTATATGTGAGGCCAAAGGGTTAGCAAATCATGTGGCTCCTCGATCTGTAGCCAGCAAAGGCTCATTTTAGCTTCCTTTCTCTAAATCCCCTTCCCCATTTATCCTTTCTCCTTCGTTTTGTTATGCGGATGCTAATTTAAATGAATTTCATTGTTGGTGATAATTTTAAAGAATTTTTATAATGAATTTGGCTATATTATAACATCATCCAGGCTAATTAGATTCCAATTAATTTGTTAATAAGTAACTCAGCACACTCAGTAGTGTATTTATAATTAGTTGGATTTTCATTTGTATAGGACTTTGAGTTTCTTGCCATATGTTAGTATTTGAAGTTCTAATAAACTTGATATGGGATATCTAGCATCCAGATCTATGTAGCTGTTATTCATTAGGGGGTAAATATACCCTTTTGTTGTTAGGAGCATTATTCTTGTTGCCTGTGTTAGATTTCTAGTTAATTGTAGGTTCGTAGCATTTATATTATGTTGTGCCGTCTTTTAAAAAAGTAAACCCTTACATATGATACTTTTTAAGTATCTGAGAAACATGTTAACTGCTTAAGGTATTTTTCAGAGGGTAAATGCATAAATTGGCTTACTAAACTTACAACTAAGGTGATATCTGATTGTGTATGTGATAAGTATATTAAATTTCCCACCAACTTTTGATATCGAGCTGTATTCACTGGTTCACCTTCATTCTTATTTTCCATTTTCTGATTTGGATCAATTGGAGTGTTTGCAAGCATCTAATTACTCATTCCACTTAAGAACTTGTAGAGCATTCTGCACAGTTTTAGGAATTTCCATACAAGACCTTTGTGTGATAAATGCCCGAAAGATAAGAAGAAATTTTCATAAAATATAATGAGACAATGGATATTGGGTGCAAGACCTCACCCTCTAATAAGTGTTAACTCATGTTCAGTATGTCACGACTTGACCCTTTATTTGGAATTAAGTATGACATGTATAAACCGTCAGACAGTGGAAAATAAATTTTCTATGTTTTTTATCTATAAATAACTATTAACAAATGAAAGGTAAACTAAAAAATTTAAAATAAAATAGTTTAATTAAATTTTTCATATACAGGTTTCTCTTCTATAAATATTTTTTTTCTATCGTTCTTCTTTTAATCATTTAATTACAATTGAAAAGTTAATTTAAAACAGTGAATTAACCAAATCTAGTGAACACTCA